GGCTCCTAAACTGGCTCAAAGGGCATGTTTCTAAGAGACTCTGGAATGAGGAGACTTCTGCAGACAGACTGCTCCTTGGGAGCTCTGAAGGAGGCGTGGGGGCTCTGCTTTGGAGGAATGAGTGTCTGTCACACCCTCCACATGTCATCTGGCTTGTCCCCACGGTGGTGCAAAGGCAGCTGGCCCGGAGCAGGAAGGGTCATTCTGGTCATTCCTGGGTTGCTTGGGACCCTGCTTTTATTGTGGCGATTAGTCATAATTCTCATGACCCTAAGCATAACCTCTTAGGCTTGTAAAGTGTGGTTCTTCCAAAGGGATCAGAGAGGGATGAAGGCACAAATGTGGGAACCCTGAAGGAAACCATGAGTCAGGTTAGGAAATGACACTTGGAGTTATTTCATATTTAACCCGGAACCAGTGTCTGGGTCCTGCTGTCTTTGGTAATACCGTGGTAGTTTTTCTTAATAATTGCAACAACTATTTTCATCTTGTTTTCCTCAGATATGAGGCCATTATTTCAACCAAGTGTGTCTTGGACTTTAACCTGAGAATATGACACAAGCTTTGAAGTCAGATTTTTTCCAACTGTGGGCTGGTCCTGGCTCAACCATCTGAAAATCAGTTGGTATTTATATGTATTTACATAGCCATATAGACCTATCTGCGTATACACAGGCTGCTTCAAAGTGTGTCTTAGTTGAGTGCAGGCAGACACACAGAACCCCCGTGGTGAAGTCTGGCCTTGGACCCAGCGCACCTGGGCCCCGCTTCCATCTGCCAGACCCGACTACTCCGAGCCCCCCTCCTCCTGCGGAAAATACCAAAACAAGGATACGAATGTCTCATATGGGGCTTTGTATACAGTAGGTACTCAATAACTAACTCTTCATATGCGGAAACTGGATAAGGGGAGTAGAAAGCAACAGGGAGCCCTGGCTTCACTCCCTTCGTGTAACCAAGAAGGGGGATGGAAAGGAAGAGAAGGAAGAAGAGAGGGAAGGAAGGAAAGCAAGGGAAGGGAGAGAAAGAACAGAGGAATGACTACATAAACACACCCGCTTCCTGTCCTTGGGCAAGTTATCTAACCTCTGTGAGGCTTGGTTTCTTTACCTATAAAATGGAGATAACAACACCTACCCTCATTTAGTTGTTTTGAGGATGAAAACAAGACAACACATAACAAGCAGCTCGTATGGAACGGCACTCACAGCTCGGTAGGAGCAGCTATCACCATCACCAGCCACCCAGCACCCTGTTTCTATCTGACATCTGGCCTACTCTCCCAACTTTCACTCGACGGGCACTGTAGTAAGTACTCTAGATGAATAAACAAAAGGTGATGTTTCTTCTCTTGTTTTCATTTTAAAAAGCACCAACAGATTAATTATACCATTAATAGAATTCGATGTCATCTTACCCTGAGATGCTGTTCTTAACACTCATTTGAAGAACTATGGCGCGGGCCAGTCCCCATGAGCTGGGGCAGGTTTGGGGCTAGTTCTATTTGCAGGCAAACCAAATGCGCTTGTTTCTCTTGCAAAGCTGTGACCCTGAAACAAGAGTCTGCAGCCAGTAGGAACTGAAACTGAGTCAGAAGCAAAAGCGACCTGCGCCGCTGTGATTTTCCTGCCTGTGGGAAAACACAGACCAGGGCAAATAAGCAGGTCAGTGGGGTGTTTGTTCTCAAGCGCTGCCCAGAGCCTGAAGTTCTGCCCAGAGCTGGAGCAAGACCACGTGTGTGTGAGTGTGTGAGTGTGTGTGTGTGTGTGTGTGCTGGGGGGGGAGGGCTGCTGGGTGGGAACTCCCACAGATACAGCTAATCTCTCATTCGTTAAGTTCAAGATGACTCATCATTTTGTCCTCCTAGTAATCCAGACAGGGTCACTCTTCTAAAGGCCACATTCACTGGCAGGACTTTTTAACAGGGCATTCTGACTTTTTAGAAAAAGGCCAAAGTCAACATCAGAAAATCCTTTTTCTGGTTTGCAGTAATAATAGCCACTATTTATCCAACACTTCTGTGTGCCAAGCACCCTGCGTGGTGCTCCATGTACTTATTTCTCACAACCCCGGGAGGCCACTATTACTTGTTCCCATTTTACAGATGAGGAAAACGAAACTCGGAGAGAGTCAGTCAAGACCTGAGCTGGAGCCCGCTCACCCAGCGAGGCTCCCACCTCGCTGGTGACCTCACGTTCAGAGCTAGGAATCCGTCACGGTGGGAGTATTTACACATTGGAAATGGGCAAACAGTACCAAGAAGAGCCCATTCCTTTTTTCCCCCCTCTTTTTAAGTCACTGAAAAACTGCTTGTGAAATATTTACCAGCCAGTAAGTAGGCAGAGTCAGGATTCAAATATAAGTCTGCCTCCTCCTTAAGCTCACACTCTTTCATCCCAGTTCATCCCAGAAGGGGCTCTCAGACAGAGCACCACCTGCCTGTAGGGAGCGGGCTCTCAGCAAGCCAGCCCAGGAGATGCCCTAATCATATGGAGGTATTACTAGTAAATACATCTGAGTCCCCCTCCTTGTCTGCGCTGAGCTCAAGATACACTGAAATTACAAGGGCTGAGTAAGCCGGAGACAGGATTTATGAGGTAATAATAATGTGCTCTCGAATATGGCACTTTTCATCTTCAAAGCATTTTACAGCCATTTACTAATTAGTCCTGGGCTGCACTCTGTGTGCAGTACAATGCTCGGTGACGGGCGGAACCAGCAAGAAGTGTTTGAAAATACACAGGTGACTGTCGCCCATTTACAAGCACCACTTGCTTCTGTTGCTGTCGGGGGTAGAGATAAAAAAAAAAAATCTCACAAAGACTGGTTTTGAATCCCCGGCATTTGAAATATGAAGTTGCTGTTATCACCTTTTGTTGTTTGGGTCCCCCTCAGAAAATCAGTCCAAACCCTCCCCCTGTGCTAAAGCGGCTGAAAGGCTTTTTAAAAATCATATTATCTCGAGACATGCTCACAAGTTTATACACAGCACACCATCCTTTACTGGGAAAGAAAAAATACGCGTCTGTTTACTAGGGAGACATACATGAGGAGTGGCTGTGACTCCCAAGCCAGAAGCCTGGGATGGGTCCTGACCTGGCACTGGCTGGCTGGTGATCATGGGTAACTCACTCAACCTCTCTGATCTTGTTTCCTCCGCTGGGTGACCCTACCCCCTGGCTTACACCACAGGCCTGCTGTAGAGATGCACTGAGACTGAGATAAAGCGTGTGACATCACTTCCGAGTTACACTGTGCCTGCCTCACAGACGTGCAGGCGGATCATTAGTGATCTGACCAGCCTGAGCGTATGTGGACCCCTAGAGGTTGGCAGGGGTAGGAGGGCCACTCCCAGGTCACACTGCGCGTGACTGACTGCTGTCCCTGCCAGCTGGCTATTTGAAATGCCAGGGGTCCAGGCTGCATGACTTCCTCGCCTCCCACAATTGCCTCTGCTAGAACCAGACCTGGAAACCCATACTAGGTCGGAAGGAAACCCTCACTCAGTCAGCTCCTGGCTCTGTAGGCAGTAAGCCCAATCCGCACCCCTTCGAGGGGGCAGGGTGGCCACATCAATTTTAAGTGACAGTGTCATGGAGCAGAGAGCAGCTTGGCACACAGCTGCCCTGAGGTAGAGTGGGCAGTCAGCTGGCTGAGGGGGTCATGACCGCTTATTCCAAAGAATCAACCACCTGGGAGTGTTAACAAATCCGGATGCCCGAGCGCTGGCTGGAGAGCCCTGACTCTGCGGGCCTGCAGTGGGGCCCAGAGCAGGTCTTTACAAAGTTCCTGGAGGGGAGCTGAGTTCTTGTATTATAAGAAAAGGGATTTACTCAAAGCCACCCCGCCAGCTAATGGCAGAGCAGGGGTGTGGACACAGGACACTGGCCTGGTCTGTGAAGGGAATTCCCAAGGTTTCAGGGCAGGGGGCAAAGTCCGCACGTGGTGAAAGGCGGGCAGCCGTCGTCCAGCTGGTAGCTAAGCCAGGAGGCTGTCGAAGCTGTGCTCCTGCCTCCTGAGTGCATTCCTGGGTGCGCAGTGCAGGGAGGAGGGGTATTCCTCTCTGGTCCCCACAAGGGCCCCACGCTGGTCCCTCATGTGAGGCTCACATGGTAAAACAGCTCCAAGAGCTACAAAGGGAACTGAGGGAACAGTGTGAGGCCACCTTAAACCCTGTGTGGTCTTACAGCAGGTGGGGCCCAGGCTTCACCTCCGACTGGGAAGACAGGTGGGTTTAAGGAAGAGCACAGGCAGCGCAGGCCAGCTGCCTGCTCTCTCACCTGCTCCCTATGGAGAAAACCTTAAGGATGGAATGACGCTCAACTCAACTGTAAATCCTAGAAAGCTGTCAAGCTGGCTGTAGTCAATGGGGGTGAGAGTTCAGGGCAGTCACGTGGTGGTCTGGACAGGCCTGGCTCCCAACTCCCAGGTTCGCTTCTCATTTCCCGGGGGAGTTTTCTGTAACTCTGGGGCCTTAGTTTTCTAAGGAGAGGTGTTGGGGGTTGAAACAAGATGACTTCTGAGACCTTGTCCAGCTCCGATAATCCATACATTTAGGAAAAATGGTATATTCCCCAGCTCTATTCCTGGATGGCTGAGACTGGGAATCACATACACGCCAGGGATAACCCACAAGACCCTGCGTCTTCCAGGCATAACTCGCACAGTGCTGCAAAGGCCCCAGTAGCTCTGCCATCAGCCTAGGGAGGGGTGAGGGGAGAAAGGGACCAAGACATTGATGCATTCAGCAGGCTTTAATGGCTGCCTCCTGGGTCAGGATGGGCTGCGCACACGGTGCACACGGGGGTGGGGGGGGGAGAGGGGTACTACAACGCAGCTGTTCCTGAGCTCCAGCCTGGGGCCTGGCTGGGTGGATGGCTGAAGCTGCGTAGGTCAGTCAGATTCATTCAGGAAGTGCCTTTTCCAATGGAGCACTGCTCCAAATGGGAAATGGGGGAGGTGTAAATCACCCCCGCCCCCCCCCCACATATGTTTCAGGGGGGAAAAAAGCAAAGGGGGTGGGTTTAATCTTAAAACTTAAAAGAGGTTTCAGAGACAAAGGCTTTGGCATAAGGAAGGGTGTGTGCATTTATGATGTCTTACTTTCCCTGGAAAAATATTGCATCATGATTTGTGACTTTATTTCTTCCAACTAAGAAATATACAAAAGGAAACAAAGGGGGAGCAACCAGAGGTGGGGGGCTCGAGGACGGGTTACCGCCAGCCAGCTCAAGTTTGGGTTCAGACGGGACGCAGAAAGCTGCTGTGTGAGCGAAACACTGTCATGAAGACATTCCAAGTGGCTTCCAGGAAGCGACCATATGTGCTGACACGCATGTGGACAGAGCAGTCTGGCTGGCCTCCTCTCAAGACTGGTGTTTCCTAGAGCTTTCCATTGGCAAATGCTGCCTCCTGGAACTGAGGCACAAAGGTTTTGAAATAAGCCCTGGTGGGAAAGAGGAGAAAAAAAAAAATTGTGGTTAGCATAAACAACTTGAAAAAAAAGTGCAACTCAGAACTTTCAACCTAACTCAGAACAGTTGTTACTTGTTGTTCATGCATCTCGGGTTGGATTTTCCTTCTTGCTGATGCAAAGCCTTTTGGATTTTTCCAGGGGAGGTACGTGCACCCCACTACTGTGCTGTCTCGCCTACGCAGACCCTCCTGGCTGCCAATTCCTATCAGACATCAGTCCTCAGGTTCCGTCTGCAGTTTCCCAGGCCAAAAACAAGGGCCGGTCTAAGCTACAAGCCACAGAGTGACCAAGCCAACCACCGGTCGTTTTGGCGATCTGAAATATCAAGAGGATTGTACTTGTCACTCAGCTGGATCTCTGACTTCATGTAGACAAAGAGGATCTAATAAAAAGGATTTCTAAGTGATCCATGGTTTCCATTTATTTCCAAACATATATGTTGTTTGGTGTGCTGGAAAGAAAGTAGGCTATCAAGATAGCCTTCCCTGGTCAGTCAGAGACTAGTGACCAGATCTGGGGCAGACCTTTCTGCTGGTTAGACTTTCTGGCACCCAGATTCGAATCCGTAGATGCGGGCTCTACATTGCGCATCAAGAGAAGGGCACGTGCTGGGCCCACTCTGTGCTGGGCATTGTATGTGGTGCCAGGGGTTGAGATGACCCAGATGTGGCACATGCTGTGCAGGAGATCTCAGTTTAGAGGATGGGACAGACACGTATGTGATACCAACTGAGGTGGTGAGGGCACTTATGGAGGTGCCAGGAGGCACCAGTCTGGGGCAATCAGTGTGGGTGGGGGCAGGGGATGGCTTGCCGTGAGCTGGGAACTAAAAGCTCTGCAGGAAGATAAGGGGTGAGATAGTAAGTGTGGGGGGGGTCAGGGTGGGGACCACATGCCCTGGTGATCCAGGCTTGCCTGCTACGCCTCCCTCTACCACTGACTCCCATGAGCTCAGAGGAATCACACCTTACAGAATCGCAACATGAATTAGGGAGGGCCACCAAGAAGACCCATGACCCATACTGCAAAGGCCTCATGCACCTCACCCAAGGGGCCTCCCAGGGTCCCTTTTCCTTAGGATTCGGTTCTAATAGGCTTGGCGCTCCAGGCTCCCAGAAGAGTAGAAGACCAACTAGAAGGAGTGGAGGAGCAAACGTAAGGCAGGAGGCAGGCTCACGGAAGCAGCCTGAGACTAGGACTAGGTGCTCAGAAGCTGGGCAAGCTCAAACAGGGGTCCTTCGGTGGAGGGCGAGCAGCCTTGCCCATGGCAAGGGGCCGGGCCACGCCTGGATCACAGCACAGCACGGTCAGTGATGACCCCTGACTGCCCCCCGCCCCAACACCAAGTCCATGGAGCCCCTTTCGCATTTCACCACGTGGCCCTGGCCTTCCCAGTCCAAGCCAGCCACGGTAACTTCTCTGCAGCCCTTCAGTGTGGGCTCCTCCCTCTGGAAGCGCTCCGTGTGACATTACACGTCCTCTCGCCCCCTCGCACTGCCCCCCCTTCCCCACTCCCGGATGAACTCTCTCCTCTGGTCTCGAGTCTCCTCCGCCTTGCTTTCCACTCCCCTCAGGCGCGCTGTGGTTCCTCTCAGGCTTACCCCACCCTCGGCAGAAAACCACCCAATCTGAGTCTCCAGCCCTCATTTCTCTCCTGAACTTCTAGTTCCACAGTTTCCCAACCACCTGCAGGGCACTGTGACCTGGATGTCTCTGTCATTCGAACCAGGGTGTTTGCTCCAAACGACGTACGTGTTGCTCAGCATTAGGTATTTCAAGGGGCCACGGCCCACTTATGCTTCTGCAACAGAACCCTGCTGCGCCCACTTCTCCCTAAACCCCTGTGGGGAATTCATCCTGCAGGCCCTTCCTCTTCCTCCCTCACGTCCCTCTCTCCTTCCTGACCCACGATGGCGCTCCACCTCGTTACCTTTCGATAACACTGCTGCCGAAGCCCGTCTCCCCGCTGGGCACAGGCTCCCTTCCCCTTTCTGCTTCAGCTGGATAAATCCTCTGAGCGGGGTCTCTGTCACTACCCCCGCCAAGAATCTTCATGTTCCCCACGCTCGCGGCCTGGCACTCTGATTTGCACTCTCTGGCTCCACAGTACGTTAAAAAAAATTGCCCTTTTCCCCTCATTTTTTGGGATTGTGCGACCCCTCTCCCCTCCAGTTTGAGACGCTAAGAAAGCTAAGGATGGTCTCCCAGACAAACTGCAGGTAAGTGTCCCCACTGCAATGTTCCACGCCACTGGCGGATGTCACAGACCCTCTAAAGCCCTTGCAGGGTCCAGGATGTGAGCACCCCGGGCTCCCCACAATTCGGCCGCTTGCTCTGCCTCACCCATGCCGTTTTCCACCTCTGGGCCTCATTCATGCTCAGGCCAAATGGCCTTGCTCCCATCAAGCCTTCCCTGGTCACCAGAGGTTCTTTCCCTGCACGTAGACCCTCTGTGCGTCTTCCAGGGCATCTGGCACATCTTGCTTGCCGGGCTGCACTGCCAGCCCCGGAACAGGGAGCACGTTCTCTTCTCAGTGAGCCCACAGCCCCGCAGCCCTGCCCACAGAGAGCACTCAGCGAGGCCTCTGTGGCTGTAATTAACTACTGACGCCCCCGGTTTGCAGCAAGCAGTTAAGGCATGTCCATCACACGCTGTTCAGGAAGGTGAGAGAGTAACCCCAGAAAGCGGACAAATGTAATATTTAGGTACTGAAGAAAACGCAGTCCATTCTCAAACTTTACGTAAATCAAACAATTAGTGAGAAAGAAAGATAAAGCCCCCTCCTTCATCCACATCTTGCTAGCATGGTCCCGAGCCAGCCGAACTGTCACCTTCTCTGAGGCTCACAACTTAAGGCCTTTCCCGCCCAGTGCGCCATGCCACAATCGTCCTTGTGGAAAGGGGGGACCTGGATGAGGTAGAACGTGCCCTAGACCTAGGGTGAGAGGCCCCGAGCTCTGTTTTTTCATGGTGAGGAGGGGGGATAAGCCCACCCTGATGTGACGCTCGCAAGAGAAATTGTGAAGGAGGAAAGAGCAGCTTAGATTTTCCTTGGAAACTTCTGAGGGAAGGGGCTGCAACATGGCAAGCTCCTTAGACCAAAAGGTCTTGGCAAGAGGGAATGTGCCTCACAGCAGGCTCTTGCCTCCGTCAGAAAGTCCTGAAGTTTCCTGTCCTGTCCTGGGCTTTCCCTGCTTGGGCAAGCTGCGTGACTGCGAGGGGAAGCAGTGTGGAGAAGGGCTATTTAAAGGCATCATGCTACCAGCTGCTGTCAATGAGCGCTTCTCAGGCGTCCTCATGAAGTCAGATAAGGGAGGGGGAGGAGGAGGAAGGGGAAAATGACGACAGGCTCCCGCCCGTGTATAGATTTTTTTTTTTAAGATTTTTTTTTTTAAATTGGGGAATTGGGGGATGGGAACAGCGCTGGGGAATTGGGGGAAGGGGAACGGACAAGTTGCTGTCCTTTTGTTCTTCAGTCTAGTTGTGGAGGACGTCGCTTCACTGGCCCAAGTTGGTGTTATCATTGTGCTCTCCCGGGTGAGGCAGTTGCTCGCTGGCTTCTGGACGGCCACTCACAGCGGCTGCTGGCCGCTCACGCTGGCTGCTGGCTACACACGGTAGCCCATGGCAACCCACTGCAGCAGGGGCTGCAGCCTACGCTGTCGCCGGTGACTCACGGCAGCCCAGCTCCAGGTTGAGCTGTTGTTCAGCATCTTAGCTGCAGAGGGCAGTGTCACTGGCCCTCATATGTGGGATCCGAACCAGGGACCTCTGGCATCCCAAGCCAGCTCTTAACCACCGTGCCACTCGGCCAGCCCCGTGTATAGATTTTTTTACAGCACTGTTTTCATTTCACTTTTGGAGAAAATGGGGAGCTGCCCAGAGTATATCTTGCCATTGGCACTAGTTATCTGTCACCTTTTGAAAAACTCTGACCCAAAGACAAAGTGTTGGTAAGCTTTAAAAGTGTGTGTCACGGTCAGGAGGAAAGGTCTCCTCACCTCCCCGTTAAATGGCCAAGACAGCCGGCTGGCACGGAGAGGGGCCCGGGGCAGTCAAGCTCCCCGTCTTAGTCACACTGAACTGAGTTTATTTTTAGACCAAATTGGAGCTCAATATGCCTTAGCACAAAGTAAGGTTCTGACCCTCTCCACTGATCTCACTGCTTTGCTCCAGGTTGTATAAAATCACAACTCAGTCCAATACCCCAGTCTCTCAGGTTGGGGGAATAAAACCCAAAGAACTGAGCCCAGGCCGAGGCCGGGTAGGTTACCCATGAATTCGGAGGACTGGCTCCTGGCCTGGACCTCAGCTCACAGCGGGCAGACCAGAGAGACTATTTGGAGAAGTGGGGGATTGAGGGGCCCAGCGGGTCCGCTCTTCTGGATCTTGGATCCAGGGGTAAATCTCTTCTCTGGGCGCATCTACAGAGCAGGGAGCCCAGCCTGGTGATCTCTAGGGCCCCGTAGGCTGCAGGCTGTGAAGGACAAGCAGTGTAGTGTGGGCTCTGGAGCCAGCCACACCTGGGCTCAAGGCCGGGCCCCGCTCCCTCCTGGCTGTATTGCTTGGGCAAGTGACTCACCTCTTTAGTTTTAGTTTCTTCAACTATAAAGGGGAGAAATAACGCCTGCTTTAAAGGGTAATCCTCACGAGGATTAAATGAGATGGTCCAAGTAAGCACTTGGCCTGGTACCTGGCATAACAGATGCTCAACAGGTGCCAACTGTTACCAAGGGACCAAGCTGGGTCTGGGGGCAGGGGGGGGGGCCTCTGAGTCTGTGGCGACAGCTGGACCCTGTGTGGAAAGAGGCCCCGGGGTCCTGGCCCTCAGTTCGTTCTTTCCCCCTGTGGCTTCCTGGATCACTTCTCACTTATATGGTGGCAGTTGGAGGCACAGAGACGGCCAGCCTCAGGGATGGACGCCCAGCCAAAGTCGCTGGGACCCTGCGCATCTCCTGAAATCCAGTCG